GAAGTCAAGGCTCTGCAATATCGCATACTGAAGGACGACACTGTATTGATACTCTATAACAGTGGGCAAGGAGGAAACTGCTATATACTTCTGTGACTGTTACCAGACTGTCAGTTAACCAGACTGTTACTTGTTTTCTGGTTTTGTACCTCTCTGGCCTATGGAATATTTAGAAATGGCTCTTTTGGTATAGACTTCTTGGAAATTGCGATTAATCCTTCATGAAAAAGCCCTCAACAATTAATTATTTTGCAGATTGGGTTCTTGTGGAGGTTTTTTCTTTATTTGTTTTTGCAACAGACCCCACCCAGAAAGACTCTGAAGGGAGTCTGAGGCGTAATTGCTGTAGGGTAAACTTCTAACCCATTGAAAATCAATAGCCTTCCAACAATAGCCTTCCAACAATAGCCTTTCATAGTACTTAAGAAAAATGAAGCAGGTTGTGTGTCTATTGACTGTGATAACCCTAACATAAGCCAGACTTACTGTATGTTGTAAACCTGTCTGTACAGCAATCCATCGCTTTAGTAGTCCTCCCAGACCTGCTCTCACAGAAGCTTTTATCCAGATCCATTATCTGTGCAGCTGATATGTTGCTGGAGGATGATCAGAGAAAGCTGCTGCTTTGCCATCATGCAGGACATTTTGCAGCACAGGAAATTCTTGATCAAGCTGATATATTGAGAGCATATGAGAAATTGGAAAGCATTTTCTTCCTGGGCAACCAGCAATAAATTCAGATGGTAGCAACATCAGTGCCAGCTCCACTAAAATATTGTTTTCTTGTTACAATCTGGCCTGCTCTTCACTTTTTACAGATAAATGTGGCAGTGACATCTCCATATATAGAATTGTAGAATAGTTGAGGATGGAAGGCATCTCTGGAGATTGTCTGGTCCAACCTCTCTGATTAAAGTGGTATCAATTAAAGTTAGCTTCCCAGGATTGTGTCCAGTTAGGTTTTGAATAGCTCCAAAGGTTGAGACTCTACAAGCTCCCTGGGCGACCTAGTGCAGTGTTTAACCACACTCACAATAGAAATGCTTTTTTTTTTTTAATGTTTAAGTGGAATTTCTTGTATTTCAGTTTGTGCTTATTGCCTCTTGTCCTGTCACTGGGCACCACTGAGAAGAATCTGGCTCCCTCATCTTTACTCCCCCCATCAGTCATTTATACACATTGATAAGAACCCTCTGAGCCTTCTTTTCTCCAGGCTAAATGATCCCAGCTATCTCAGCCTTTTCTTGAAGTAAGTATCTTTGTGACCATTTGCTGGACTCACTCCAGTAAGTCCGTTGGCCATCTTGTTCTGGAGATCCCAGAACTGGACCCAGCACTCCAGATGTAGTTTCACCAGGGTTGAGCAAAGGGCATGGATCACCTCCCTTGACCTGCTGGCAGCGCTTTTCCTAAGCAGCCCAAGGTGCTTTTGGCATTCTTTGCATCAAGGACACATTGCTGGTTCATACTGAACTTACTGTCTCAGGTTTGTTTTTTTTTCTGCAAAGCTCTTTCCAGCTGGTCAGCCTCTAGCCTGTACTCCAGATGCTGGACTTGGATTTCCCTTTGACGTTCATGGGATTACTGCTGGGTCACTTTTCTAGCCTTTTGAGGTCCCTCTGAATGGTAGCACAGCCACCTGGTGTATCAGCCATTCCTTCTAGTTTTGTACCATCTGCAAAGTTGTTGAGTGTGTACTCTGTCCCATCATCCAGGTTATTAATGAAGATATATTGGCTCCAGTATTGGCCCTGCGGTATACCACAGATGATTGCCTCCAGCTGGACTTAATGCTGCTGATCCCAACCCTTGAAGACTTAACAGTTTAGCCAGTTTCCAGTCCACCTCACTGTGTACTTACCTAATCAGTACTTCATCATTTTGTCACTGAGCATGTTACAGACAGTGTTGAAAGCCTTGCTAAAGTTGAGGTAAATGACATCCATTGCTGTCCCCTCATCCATCAAGCCAGTCATAGTAGACGGCTGTAAAGTTCATCAGGCATGATTTCGCCATCATAAGTCCATGCATGTGTACTCCCAGTAACCTTCCTGTCCTTAATATATTTTGAAATGGTTTCCAGGATTATTTGCTCTGTTGCCCTCTGTTATCCTCCTCCATTACCTTCTTTGAGGTGAGGCTGACCGGCCTGTTGTTCTTTTCATCCTTTTTCTTGAAGATAGGAATGATATTCACTTTCTTCCAGTTCTCAGGAACCTTTCCTGATCACTATTCAATGACAACCTTTCAAAGATAATTCAGAGTGACCTCCCCATGACATTGGCCAGCTCTCTCAGCACGTGTTTGCATCTCATCAGAATCCTATGGACTGGAGCATGTCTGATCTGTTTAAGTGTTTCCTAAGGTAATGCTCCTCTGCTGAGGGGAAGGTTTCCTTGCTCCAGACTTTCCCAAAGGTCTCAAGGACCTGGCAATTCTGAAGGCAAGAGTTACCAGTGAAGACTAAGGCAAAGAAGGCACTGAGCACCTCAGCCTTCCCCATGTCGTTTGTCACTAGGTCCCTTGTCCCATTCAGCAGCAAGCCCAAGCGTACCTACTCTTCCTTTTGCTGGTGATACACCTGTAGAAGCCTTTCTTGTTGTTCTTAATGCTTCTCATTAGATTCAACTCCAGATGGGCTTTGGCATTCCTAACACCACCCTCCATATTCTTTTTGGGTAACCTGGTGCTGTTTCCACATCTTGTACACTTCCTTTTTATCTTTGAATTTAGTCAGGAGCTCCTGGTTTATCCACAGAGGCCTCCTTCCACATTTGCTGGATTTCCTGCTTTTCAGGATGGACCGTTCTTTGGCTTGGAGGTGATTCTTGAACATCAGCCAGATCTCCTGGATCCCTCTTCTGGCCAGGGTTATATCCCACGAAATTCTTTCAAGCAGGCCAAAGGCTGTTCTCCTGAAGTCCTGGGTTGTCATTCAGATTTTTGCCTTGTTCCTTCCCCTCAGAATCCTGAACTCCATCATGTTGTGGTCACTGCAGCCAAGGCTGCCCCTGACCTTCACATCCCTGGCCAGTTCTTCCTTTTTTGGTAAGAATTGGGCCCAGCGAAGCATGTGCTGTCTTTGGCTCCTTGATTACCTGTCTTAGGAGGTGGTCATCGATGCGCTTTCAGAAACCGCATGGATTACTTGTGTCTTGCTGGATTGTCCCTCCAATAGATACTGGAGTGGCTAAAGTTCCTAATGAGGACTAGGGTCTGTGAACCTGATACTTCTTCCAATTGTCTGGAGAGGGCCTCATTGTCTTTCTCATCAGATGGTCTGTAGCAGACACCCACCACATCATCATCCATGTTGGTCTGTCCTCTAATCCTGACCTGTAAGTGCTCAGCTGGCTGATCATCCATCCCAAGGCAGAGGTCCATGTGCTCCCACTGATCTCACTGAAGGGGCAACTCATCCTCCTTGCCTTCTTGGCTTCTGCTTCCCAAAGAGCCTGTGTCCACCCTTTGCAGCATTTCAGTCATGTGTGCTATCTCACTATGTCTCTGTGATCCCAATGAGATCATAGCCCTGCAACTGCATGCAGTTCTCTTAATTCTTCCTGCTCCCACGCGTTCCTCATGCTGCATGTGTTGGTGTGCGAACACTTCAGAGAGGCACCTGCCCATACTGACTTCCCAGAAGAGGTATGAGAGCTTTCCCTATAATGCTGCTGTCCTGTAGGTACTTCAGAGTTTATGTGCATATGCTTGGGGTGACCCCACTTCAGCCCTGTTTTGGAGAATCCCAGCTTCATGGACTTGCATTTGATGTATCTTTGCCCTCTTTTTCTCTTTCTGTTTTCTTCCCTGTTTCTTTCTCTTCTTCCTTAGCTAGAAAGATGTGAATAACCATCAAAAGGCTGTGAGGCAGGAGGGTGGGGAAAAATGTCGTCTCTTGTGATAGGCCCCTCCCTTAAGGTTTCTTCCATACTGAAATCTTTGCATTTAGACTTGAAATCACAATTTTTTCCCAAAGCATTTTCCTGTTTTAGTAGCAACCATATCTACTCATCCCCAGTGTAAGTATCCAAAACCTCATTAAGTCCCAAATAAAGTAAGTTTTCACATGCTGGTATTTAGAGAGTGATGTACCACTTGATAGAAGTTATTTGTATTGCATCCTTATTATCGAGCAGGTTAGTAGACTGTCTTTACTGGGACTGTTTGAAGAGATCTCAATTTCTTTCAGAGGTTTGAATCCTTGACCAACAGAAACATGTTAGGAATAAAAGAGTTTCCACTGGGCTTGATTTTTAAGGCTCTGTGTGCTGCAGCACTGATTGAACTTACCTTTTTTTTTTGTTGGCTAGAAAGCCAAGATAAAAAGAATACATTTCTGGAAAGGGACCAGGAACTTCTTAGGACACAGTTCTGGCAGGAAAGATAAGGTTGGAAAAAGTGAGCATGAGAACATTGTTCTGTTACTTGCTCTCACTTTTTTTTTTTTCCCAATTAAACATTTTTTTGCATATTCTCACATATGACATTAATGTGTCATCAAATTTCTGTGAAATGGAAATATTCAGTGATGTTTTGAGCATTAGTTAGTGGTATTAAAAGGCGGGTGGCAATATTATTTGGTTTTCTGAGTGATTTTGTGAAGCAGTGAGGCTTGTTTTTATGTAATATATAACTTCTGTTTTAATGTCTGTTACAACTTCTATTGTTCTGTAATTACAGCATGTAATGAGACTATATTTTGAAGAAGAATTGTGAAATAGTGGAAACTTGTTATCCAGTTAGAAGCAAACTTTAAAATGAGTTAATATTTCCCTCATTCCTCTTATTTGTAGGAGACAGCTGCAATCACTGGATGCATTATAGTGATGCCACTAAAACCAGAAGTGGATGGGCCAAAGAATTATTAAATGAATTCAAAAGCAATGTTGAATTGCTTAAGCAGGCTGTGAAGGACCAGGTCACAGATTCTCCTCCCAAATCACCACCTGCTGTATCTCCTCAGAACCTACAAACAGGTATTTTGTTTGCATCACTAATGCTCTAATTCCATGAAATGTTAAACTATTCTAAAAAAGATTGTTCTTTTCAATGATTCCATCGCTATTCTTTCCTACAGGCAAGGAACAGATACCGAAAGGAACATCTAGGGCTTCCTCTGTATCTTCCCAACAACCAAAGGGCAAACTGATGTCTAGTCCTATTGTGGTTAGACTTGCAGATTTCAATATATATCAGGTACATTTCTTCAAGTTAGTAAAACTGGGGCTACTTTGCCCTTGACTGTTACGTAACAATGTTTTTTTAAGGGACAATTCCAAAGCCCATTGAAGTTAATAGAAGTCTGTCCATTCGTTATTGGATTAGACCTTTATGGGCCTGCTTCTGCTTTGTTAAAATTGGTGGATATTTTCTTATTGACTTTATATTAGATGATACCTCATCACAATTATGTTTTGGATCCAAGTTCTCCTGTTCCCCAAATCATGACATTTGGAATTTCATCTTTTCATTGTACTATGTTAGGTACCCAATATTTTAATAGGTGGTTTTGTATTTCATACTTTTCTTATTGTTATCTTTTTTCAAAGTACATGGATTTTTTTTTTTTAATGTTAAATTAAGAGTTTTTAAATTTTTTTCTCCAGCCCCTCCCTCCCTCAGTGATATTTTGACTAGACACTAACCATTCTCGCCCTCTCCCCGCCCGC